CAAAAAAAAAAAAAAAAAAAAAACAAATATACCTTTTATGCTTATATAATTTTTTTTTCCTATTTTTCGGCTGTATTAAAATAATGTATACACTATCCTATATTATAACTATTAATATTTAATCATACTATATTAATTATATATATATATTAGTAAATTTCATTATGCACTTACATCTTTATTATTAATTTGCACAATAATGAACATGATTTTATTATTAAGCAGCATGAGGACATGCTACAGAAAAAACATAGGTACATTTTGTAATATTCTCCTTTGGAATATTAATAAAATCAATACCTCTTGTATTTCTAAGACCACAGAAAAGAATATGCAAACACGATTACACATATGGTATTGACTTTTGGCAAATATAAAATAGAAGTGAATCATTCTTTTTCATGCAGTCTTCGAGGCACCACTAAAGTATTAAAAAAAAGGAAATTAAAATATAATAATTCTTTTGCGTTTTATGAAATATAGAATGACTGAATGTGCCTATAAAATGTATGACACATTCATGACGCCCAATCCCTGTTTATGACTTTTGTGGTACATCATATAAAGGCTGAAGACACTGTTTTTCCAGTCAGTCACTCGCTCATTTTTCTTATCTCTTTTTCTCGCATAAATATTTCAAGTTAAACACTTTAAGATTATTCCAAATGTACTCAAGTGTATTCTTTATACTGTGTGTCTATAAACTTAACTTTGGTCACTAAATCTAAACTATACATTTGTTAAAATAATCAACACTTTCCATAGTAAGAGATACTCTTTTATTAATCACATACAATCTCTTTCATTAACGTACCTATTATAATTTTAACAACCATAAATCTACAATCAAGATTCTATTACTATCAGTGAATATCAGATAAGAGTAGTTTTAATACACTAACTACACTAATAAAGTAATAACTAGAAACAAAGTACTTGTATCTATTATGTCTTTATGGATGATGCCATTATCATTCTTCTTTGTTAATACCATCTCCATTAACTTTATTTTTAGTTATTACACTTTAAAAGCGATACAGAGGTCAAACAAATATTACATAGTGTAGTCGATGATGTTATACAATTTTGTAAAGAAACTTTAAATGAAAATCAACCGAGAGACGATTATAAAGAATTTTTGGAACTTGTTATTATTTTTTTGGGCGTTATACCACCACCTAGACTCTAGGTGAATATCTCTAGATCCTAGAGGTAATCACTTTCTATGTACAGAAGCTTATCATCAGTGTATTGTTTTATAGTTAAGTGTTTTGTAGAGTTTTCGTTTAGATGTCCAGATGCAATAACTGCATTCAATTTAATTTAAATTTAATTATTAAAGTACCTTAAAATGACATTTTTTTTTAAGAAGACTTGAAAATTATAAAATTGATGACCCAAAAGTGACTGAATGGTAATAAAAAAATGTATTAATCATTAAATAATTAATATTTACCATAATATACCTAGATACCATACATTTTATGGTATCTAGAGAAGAAACAACTCGTTTATCATTTTTTGATGATCGATTAATTAATAATAATACTAATAAACAAATGGCTATAATAATTCTAGATAATGTCCCCTAAGAGAAAGATGAGTATTACAGTGATCCACCAGAAAAGTATATTTTAAAAGTTGAAGACGTTTCAACCTTTTTAAAGAAAAATTTACCAGTAGAATTATTAACGAATAATTCAAATAACTTTTTTCAAAGATTCCGATTAACATTCATTTTTTGAGCCAAAATCCAAAAAATTGGCTTAACATTGAAAGTTACGTAGAAGCCAAAAATATTTTAAAACATTTAAATGTTGTAAATGATGCTGCCGAACTAGGAGTAAAGTTAATGGAAGAATTTAACACCCGGCTCACTAAAAATGAAAATTAAAAGCAGTATGTATTGAAAGTGTGTTCTTAAGTAACAATTTTTTCGAAAATCAAAAGTTAAAATGCAATTTTTGTTATTTTAGGTGGTAGAGCAATATCGTAAAAATTACCCTAGTCATAGAAAAGATATTCTAACAAAAGATGCCCAACAATAATATTATATTTTACAAATGTTTGCAGTTAAAAATAAACTTGTTTCAGCTGAAAAAAAAGGTTTAATAAATGCTTGATAAAACCTTATTTAAGTTAACACAAATATGAACTTTGCAATCAATTTTATGAATTATTTATAGTGCAATAATTTTTAGTTTTTTAGAAAAATTCAGTGATTTTTTACTTTAAACACTTAAATTTCAGTATTATAGAAGAATCATAATAACAATTTTTTTAGTTGTGTATTTTTAAATATACAGTATTTATATCTTTCAATTTTGTTGTATTCTTAATACAGTATTGTAAGTTCTAGAAACCCAACCCAACCCCCCGGAGTGAGGCAAATGTGGCTCTTTTGCGTGATTCAGTTCTGGTGAGTCCATGAAAATGGTGTTGGGTGTGAACTGTACCTCTTGTTGTCGTCGTTGGAACTCCATGGGAGTTATTATGGTGTATTATAGTAGTTTATAATTATCGTTGGCGCATGACCAAACTGCAGTATTGCGTGATAATGAACGTACGATAAAATTACAAAATAGATCACGTACAATTATGACTTCATATAAATATGAGCAAATAATGTACATACAACATAAGTGACAACGGTCAACGAAATGGAATCGATAGTTTTTTCAAGACGACGGAAGAAGACAGTTTGGTGTCATTTGTTAGTAATTTTACACCGTCGAAACTTCTTTTTTGAAGAAGTTTGGAAGACGGCGGCGGCGACAGTAACAAAAAATCGAAAGTACACGACGATAATTTAACGGCTGAAGAAGTGCAGGTGCGAATTGGATTTCACGGATTTCGTGTTGATATTTATGAGTTGCTTAAGTATAGAAAGGGAATCGCAAGTAATACCCGTTTATGTACTCCTAATGTGACTGGCTCGCGGTTACGGGCCACAAGTGCTGACTCCGATAGGTTGTAATATTCTCATCTGGAATATTATAAAATCAATACTTCTTCTATTTTTCATACCACAAAAAAGAATACACTAAAACTATTACGCATATAATTCTGACCTTAGCCATAGTGGCCAAGGTCCTGAGTAGCCATGAGTCATTGTCTTTCTCAGCGTCTTCGAGGCACCACAAAAACATTAAATAAGGGAAGTTAATAAAATAACTATCTTGCCTTGATTGGAGTACAGACTGGTGACTCAATAAGTCTATGTCCCCAAAAGTCAGAATTTTGGGGACTATAAAATAGCCACGAGTCATTGTCTTTCTTACCGTCTTCGAGGCACCACTAAAATATTAAAAGAGGGAAGTTTATAAAAAGTAACTGTCTTGTAACAGACTGAATGTGCCTATAAAAAAGTATGACACATTCAAGACGCAATTTTCCCGTTTATGACTTTCATTATATAAGGGCTGAAGACCCTGTTTTTCCAGTGAGTCACTCATTCACTCTTGTCTCTTATTCTCAATTAACAATCTCTTTTATCAAATTAAACTCTTAAAGATTATTCTCCACGTACTCAAGTGTATTCTTTATACCGTGTCCTTTTTATATTCTTAACTTTTCTCACTAAGTTTAAAATCATACATTTGTTATAATTACTAAATCTATGCTTAAAAATATATACGCTTATATATTTCCAGTATAATTCTCATTTATTAACTTATCTACTATAATTTTAAATAAAACTTAACAACTACAATTATAGATTGTAGATCATTGAAACTATCATAATCAGTGAATATCAAGCAAGGGTAGTAATAATACACATACTACATTTATTAAGTAATAACCTTTAACCCTTAATAGTCCCCTTTTAAAACCTTCACTACTCTCACATTTGATGTCATTCTTTTAGTTATTACTAGAGGTCGGAATTATATTCTTTAACATATTTTTTTTGAGCGTATGTAGACATGCGGGGGTTCGAAATCTTTACAAATCGGGAAACAAAGATATCAATAGCAAAAGTTTTTTTTGCATATTTGAGAATATTTTAAGTTAAAAGAATATTTTGCTTAAAAAAGAATATTTGAGAATATTTCGATTAATTTTATGGAATTTGGATTTTTTTTGTTGCTTTGACCAAAATTATACATAATATTATACTAAATAAATTTAGTCTGTTATTTTTTAGAAAACTATGTGTAGACTTATGATTAAAATGCTTTACAAGTCATGTAAAGTAGAAATGAATTAGAAAAACATTATAAAAATAACTCTAAATATTCGTTTATCATTATTAATGATAATCATTATTATCGTGTTCCTAGAAGAGGTAGGTACAAAGATTATTGTACAACATAAATGATGTAAGTGTGTGGTTAAATTAGTTGACATTCAATCTGTCTATCGTTATTTGTCGCTCGTCGTGTATACGTAGTATTATCATACCGAGTGTAGTTTCATTTCTTTTAGTTGTTTGTTTTTAATTACTTATTTTCCAAAATGCCGAAAACCCCACCAAGCAAATTAAAAAATTTAATTGCTCAGTGGATACTACCACTAAATAAAAATAATGTAAACTTTAAAATTGATAGGACGACTCTTTTTTGTCAACTGTGTGACAAACACATACCATGCATTAAAAAGTCTCAAATAATCCAACATGTGAACACATCATCACACCAAGAAGCTTTAAAGCGTAAGTCTAATAATCCAAAACAATTGTTTTTATCAGAATCTACATCTAAAAAAAATGTAAATGAATTCTATGAAGACCTATGTTTGAGTTTAATTGCTGCTAATATACCGTGGTATAAGCTACAAAATCCACAATTTCGAGCTTTTTTAGAAAAATATACTGGCAAACATATACCTGATGAAAGTTTATTACGAAAAAATTATCTTTCCCTTTGTTATGATAAAACTTTAACTAAAATAAAAAATGATATTGGTGAAAATAACATTTGGATCGCGGTTGATGAGACAACAGATATAAACGGTCGTTATGTGGCCAATTTATTGGTTGGAATATTAAAGTCAAATCACCCAACTCGTTCTTTTCTCTTGACATGTAAAGTTTTGGAAAAAACTAACCATTCAACAGTGGCTCGAATTGTGAATGATGGATTAAAATTACTGTGGCCCTCAGGTGGAAATGATGAAAAAGTTTTGTTGATGCTCTCGGATGCTGCACCATATATGGTAAAAACTGGTCAGTCATTAAAAATATTTTACCCTAATTTAATCCACGTAACATGTGTAGCTCACATGTTTAATAGGATCGCAGAGAAGGTAAGAGAAATGTATCCAGACGTTAATAAATTAATTAACAACATAAAAAAAGTATTTTTAAAAGCTCCGTATAATGTTCAAGTGTATAAAGAAATATTACCTGACATTCCATTACCCTTAGAACCAGTTTTGACAAGATGGGGAACTTGGTTGGAAGCTGCTATATTTAATTGTGATAACTTCCAAAGTTTAAAAAAAGTTATAGAAGAATTGATAAAGCAGAAGTCTCCTAGTCAGTCTATACTTAAATGTAAAACAGTTCTTGACTTAAAATCTGTAGAAAATGACCTTATATTTATTAAGACCCATTTTCTTATGCTTATAACATGCATAAAAAATCTAGAAAAATCAAATGTGTCTCTTGTTGATTCGATAAATTTCATTGAAAATACAATTGTTAAACTTCAACAAATACCTGGAGAAAATGGAGAAAAAATTAAAATTAAAATGGATCAACTTCAACAAAAAAATCAGGGACTCTCAATTTTAAAAAACATATCAAAAGTCTTGGAGGGAAATAATGATGTACAACTTGTAGGTAATTTTCCACCTACTGTGGTTACTGATTTTCAGTATGCTCCTGTGACTTCAGTAGACGTTGAACGTTCGTTCAGTACGTACAAAAATATTTTGTCAGATCGCCGTACAAAAATGACACCAGAAAATATGGAAATGAACATAGTTGTTAATTGTTTCCAAAGAGGAGAATTCTCTTAATTAAAATTATGTCATTATTATAATTTTATCAAGCTGATAACATTTTAAGTCAGATTTTTTTAAGTTAAATTATATAATGTAATGTATTGTTTATTTGAATATAAGAAAAAAGTATTTCAGTTAATAGGTAGAATTGTACCACATTAATTAATTTTGAAATATCAGATTAAATGTTAGGTTAAGATTTTTTTGTAATAAAAGAATATTTTCAATTTCGGAGAATATTATCTTGTATATGCATATATTTTGAATATTTAACGAAAATTTTTAAAGAATATTAGAAGAATATTTTCAATTTTTTAGGAGAATATTAGCATCTTATTTTGACTATTTAAAAAAAATATTATTCCGACCTCTAGTTATTACAAAACGTAGCAAACTGAGTCGTCTGTCTGAAAATCACGTCGTTTTTATCATAAAGTATCAATAGACTGTAGGCCTCGGGCTAGTAGACTTCTCAAAATTTTAATTAATATAAAAAAATGCTCACTTCAAAATTCGAAAAATTGTTTAGAACTAACGTAACGTCATTACCTTCACAAATATTCGTCATTAAACAATTTATTTACAGCTTTATATTAAATAGACGGTTCAAAGAGGAAAATAAACATTGTAACGAAATTGGCTGATCGTAAATAACTGGATATTTAAAGAGTACAATGAAATCGTATCAGCTGGCTGCATTACGTACTTAAAATCTTTATATTCTTTTGGGTTGTGGGAGTACGTTTTACTATTTAGTGGAATACTCTGTAACAATAGCCAATAAGTTATTACTTTATCGATTCAATGGAGACAACATTTCAGTTTGGAAATTTATAAACGTTTTATACGATGTGTTAAATAAACAACGATCGAAAATGAATACAATAGTTGTCGTTTCGAAACGTTCTAAAACAAAAGGCATACGACTTTCGAACATTCTGACTACCCTAAGAATTATTTAAATAATTAAATTAATTATAAAGTAACTATTGCAAATTTAATATGATATTACAATTATACAACCAATATCTAATTATTAATATAAGAATATTAATTAGTAAGCACGCAAAAAGGATTTTAGAATTTTAATTTTAACTCTATTGAAAACTTTAATAACAAATGAATTTAGGTTGGTAAATTTATTAAAATTCATCAAACTATTCGGACTTGTAAGAAATAATTTTTACTTAATAAATTATGGTGTTGTGGTACGCCTATACATAATATCAAATTTTAATTTTTTCCACAAATTACTCAGATTGTCTTTAATAAATTATAAATTATAAATGAGAAATTATAATTCCACAGTCGTATTATAGATTATATAATTGTCACCTGTCGTTCTAATGAATTGCACCAACGAAGAAATATTTTTGACTATTTTAATGTTTTACACTGCCGCCACTGAAATATTTATCTTGTTCTACGCCAGTCATCTGATTTGAGGCGATCGTCTCACGGAACTCATAAGACCAAAAACCGTTGACATCAACTAATATGTTGACTAGAGTTTGACCCATACCACTACGAACTATGTCTTTGAGCGTGATCCTGTCAGGTTGTTCAGGTTTGATCATGTCAAATATCTCGTCTTTGATATCCTCCAATGAAACGGCGCATGTACTTTGATCACCATCACCATCAGTTGGAGGCAATCGATCGGCCACTGCCTAAATCAAACAAAACTGAAAATATTAACTTTCGCTTGAATTATTTCTAAAAATAATACTTATAATTAATTCTTTTTAGCATAATACACTTTGTAATATAAATATGATTTTTTATTATTCGTTGAACAATAAACATATAATGTAAATGTACAAAAAAAAGGGAAAATTTTATTCATATAAAAAAAATGTATTATAACAAAACTTTTTAAAAATAGAAATAAAGACAAATTGGACTATACAGAGTGATCCGTGAATCATAAACTACTTGAATACTCATAAAATAATAATTTTCAGTAATTTTCAGTTATATATAATTTTCGATTTATCTACTAAGTTGATACGACTTACATCAAATCAATGAAAAACAGATTATTAAAAAAAAAATACGAACCTAATAAATAGTAGTCTATGTAAAAAATCGTGGCACTGGCAATATAATATATATTATAATATAATATTATATTATATATATATAATATATTGACGTCAATAATAATAATGATCATTAGACGTCAAAAGTTAGCAGTTTTGATAGCGACAATACGCTGGTGCGCCATTGGTTTGTCTTTTGCAGTCGTGTGACGCGTCCGGAGATAACAGCGTACATCCTCGACATCATCACTTTGACGACTTAAAGAAGACTCAACGTAGTATTCGGGCAGCCGTCCGATTTGATTTTATACCACCGCGTACATATTGTACGCGGTGGTAATCATCCGAACTATTTATTAACAAAAGTAGGGCGGTGGTTGACAATGGTAGCGCGAATTACAATATTCAATATATCACAGATCAAAGAATTTTGTTTTCATCCCTTATGCGTTATAGGGGTATATACTTTTTTTAAATTGAGACAATACATATTTAACTAACTTATAAAATAAAAAAACACATCATAATGGAGTTGTAATACAGAGGGGATGCGTCAAAATTAGGATATAGAAGGATAGAAGATATCTGACATTAATCGACATCACTACCATCAAAACCGCTTCGATGCAAATCTATTAAATTTTACAATTTGTATATAATTAATTTTGTGATTTCTATGATTAAAAATTTCACTAGAATATAAAATGTTTGTAAAATTATTTGCTTAATTGAAAATAACATTATTTTTGTTTTGACGGCAGATTTTACATAGTAAAATAATTGCCGAGACAATTTTTAGCTTCAATGCGAAGCTGAGAAGGTATAAATTAAACTATGATGTGTTTTTTTTTTTTTTGTGTGTCTATTACCACTTTTTCTCAGCTCTCACTGAACCGATTTCTTTCAACGATACGTCAAAAGATCACAAATCATAACTAGTCGAAGACATTACCTTCAAAAATTGAAAAAATTTCTCTCGTTCCCTGTAAATGAGAGAAATCTACAAAAAAATTACAAATTTCAAAATCACTAGTTTTCGATATAGTTAAACATTTTTTTGACTTAATACTGCCATGAATTTTCTAAAAATTACCAAATCACAATATTTTTTTTTATATATACACGAGGTATTTACCTACTACTTTGTATATTTTTTTTAATAAACTTTTTCATAAAAAATTAATATTTTCAACTTAACTTTTAAAAGTGTTCCTGAAATATTGATACTTTTATATATATCTTAAATTAAAGCTTATATAATATACTTTAAAACAAACATCAAAATTAATAAAAAAATACAATTTTTGTAGAATAATTATTTTTTATTTTGTAATGTTATAACTTTTTGAAAAATATATGGATGAATACAATTTTTTATGATAAATACTATTTATATACCTCTTTCATTGGACATGCTTTTTTTTAAAAAAAAACCATTTCCCTTTATATATTTATATATTATAAATATATAAAAATGTATTCATATATTACACTTATAAATCATAAAATTTGTAATCAGAATATAAATAAGGAAATAACAGATATCATGTAGCATCGTAGCGTTTTTTATGATAGTGATTTTAATCACTGTCGGATATCATTATACTTGACTCAACTATGCCACGTCCCCACTGTGCTGGGGTTTTTTTTTTAGTATTATAGTATACTTCAAAAGTTTAACTTGATATAGGTTAAAAGTCGTCAGACTTACCGGAATATTTTCAAAAATCGAATAAAATTTTTTTTATACATGTAAAAGTGGTCTCTTTCAAAACTTTTTTTTTTATAACTCATACCAAAAGAAAGCTAGTATATTCATTTAAAATATTAATATACATTTGAAAGTCTTATTTTTCACCATAAAGTATTATTAACAACTTTAATTTTATAATGATTCAATTTTTAAATGTCTCAAAAAATTTAAAAACATAAGTTTATAGTGAAAATAAATTGTTTTTTACTTAGTCGGTCAATTTTACACAATAAAAAATTTTTCATTAAAAACAATAATAATATTTGTTTGTAGATGAAATATCACAAATAATAGGAGTAACAAATTCTTTTTTGTTCTGACTCCCCAGAAAAATTATATTAATGAAATTTTATAAAAAACTATTTTCTGTAATGTTTAGGACTTGCCTGGTTATTGCACTGAACTCTTCAATTAGTTCAAAAATATAAATAATGCATTTTTTACTGAAATTTTGAGATGTATGTTAAATATGATAATAAATAAACCGATAATTTTCTTATTTTAACTAGTTAAAAATACATATTTTCATATAAAAAAACTAATTGTTAAAGTTTTAAGTAGAGTGAACCAATATTTCTTTTTAATGATAAACATTAGATGTTTTTTTTAAAAAGAAAAAATTATAATTTGTTTTACATTTTTAAAGATATAGCATAAGTTATAATTGAAAAATCACTCTGTATAAACCAGATTTTGCACTGAATAAGCTATGAACTATACTAATTTTTATCTCTAATAATTAATAATAATAACTAAATTATTGCCAACATGAAACATACCCTTGAAAAATAATTTATAGTAAACGAATCCAGATATCCTTGGTCTTTAATATCTAGAAACTTGAACAGGTATCTAAGAGCTTGTGGTTCATTTCGATTTTCGGTGGCCAACACAAAATTTAAATAACCCTTATAATCCATTTGGCCATCAAAAGTAAAGGCAACTTGGAAGACTCTGTCTAAGAATGCAGAGGTAAATGAACCCAACTTGTAACTGAAATGAAAAATATATTTTAAAATATTCATATTACACACACACAAAGTTAAAGACAGTTGTCAAAATAAGAGATATGCAAAAGTAGTTGAATTCGGTAAAAACTAGTCATTTAACTTTTTTTTTTTAATTGATATTTAAAAAAAGAACTCAGAAGTAACATTGATTATAGTTAAAAAAAATGTATATGTAATATAAAGTGTTCAAATGAGTTACATATAAAATATTAACAAAAAATAAATATTACCTTGCCAGTTCTTCACGATTTAACAATCCATTATGATCCTTATCGAGTTCTAAATACATGGAATAAATGCGCAGAGCCGACGGAACAGAAAACCAATTTTTTTTATTCTGAGACTCTTTACAATTTTCTTCCCGTAGCTGTAGTAAAAAATATATATGTAGGTACAGTTAATATCTAGATGGCATCACTTCCAATGTTTAGAAGTGAGAAGCAGTATCAACTAGCATCAATAGTGTAGAGAGGGTCATAATTCAACTAAAACTTGTTTTTTGTTTATGTTTTGGTTTTTTATTTATTTTATAAGTTTTTTTTTAATGTTATACATATATATATGTAAATGTTATAATTTAATAGTCCCGAATTACTGTTATACTAGGTCACACCTTATTGTTAAATTTAAAACAGAAAATATGAAAAATCATGTCCCTGTGAGCTTTCTTATCATCAGGGACAACATGGGTAACAAATACTGTAAGAATATCTCTACTAACATTATCCTACATAGATGAGCAAAATTATGTTATGAAAAAGAGGTAGACTGCTTTAAGCGAGACCTGCAGAAAAATCTCTGGGTGTCATTAAACAACCCTGATTGAAGAAACAGCATGAAAACTTGTTTTTAAAAGATTGTAAAATAATATAACTTTTTTTTGCACCCTAAAAATAAAGCATAATTTTCATTTAAACATAAACACTATCAATTATTACCTCTAAAAGATCGTCAAGAAAACCACAAGACAGAATATCTACAATCCGTATTTTCCCAGTGTGAAGCGGGTCCAAATAGAAAAAAAACTTTCTTACGACCATGCATGCATAGAAAGCATAAAATGTCTTTTCTAATTTCTTCAGTTGTGTCAAAGTTGGTATGAGATCCAAAATATAGGCTTCAAAACCCTAAAAAAAAAAAAAAATATTAGCTACCTTAATTGATTCAATGGAGATATAAAAAAATAATAATTTTTTTTAGAAAACAATAGTACACATAAATACTGCAGAGATTTAGTAAGTTATACAACCTGAATAATTATGTATAATTTTTCTCTTGTCAATAAACTATTTCAACTTAATTAATGAGCGAAAAAATATACTTTTGTCAGAAACTTACAGATTCGGTGAGGTAACCAAGTCCAGTGGAGTCATATTGTGACAGTCCATTTCTTGTCTGATCTGACCATATCTTTTTCATAATGTAATTAAAAAATGTGTCTACGGACAAAAACCCCTTATTATGGCCACTATCTTGGAGTTGCAGGAAAACGCTAGGTTTGAAAAACATTCTATAAAGAATTGAATAAATAGTAAAAAAAAAAATTAGTATTGACATAAGAAATAGTTACACAGCATACAAATGTACATATATTTTGTTTTATTTTTAATTCAATTAACACAATAAAATTTATGAGTAAAACCACTTTTATTTTGATAAATACACGAGCTTAACACACAATTCAATTTTAAGATTTTAAAACTAGTGTTTTATAATTTTGATGATCTTTTCTAGATATTTACTATTATTTATTATATTATTTGTTAATAATTGTAAATAACTTGCAAAAAACCGGGATGATTTTCTTTTAGTATTAATAATTTTTTTTTTTTTTTAATTATTCAACATAAATTTTTCAAAGTTTCTGAAATGTTAATATATTAACATACATAAATGTTAGTATACAGAAAAAAGAAACCTCGAGTGCCTTTAAGTGTCACTTTCCTTACTTTCTAATTACTGATTTGGGTTTCCTCAATGATTTTTACTCAATGAAATTTTTTTTATAAATGCTATTCAATTTAGTTATAATTGTTTGTGTTATGTTAAGAGGGATATTAATGCGATAGCTTATAAGTAACATTAATACTCACTCATATTTGTCACTAAGGAGTTCTTTGACTTTGACAAAATTTGTATAATTTATGTACAAATTATTTTCTCCATCGAATCTAGCAACATGGTTTGGTGGTGAGATATGGTAGTCTTGTAGTAACGTCCACAAATGCTAGATAAAGAAAAACAAAATAATATTAAAATTATAATAAAATTTTATTAAAAAATAAATACCTTTAACTCGTCGCCTGTTAGTAACTTGTTCAATTCTCTATCAAAAAACCTACCCCGGGCCTCTTCCCGAAGTTTTGCTTTGAACTCGTTCACATCTTTGGTAATATGCTGTAACAGAAAATAAAATAAACAGATGTCTTTATATAATTTTTTTATAATTGAATTATTTATTATATGTTTAAAATAAAATCTACTTAATCCTATACTTGGTAGTATATTTCAAAAGATACATATATTTGTGTAGCTATTTTATTAATTAAATAATACTTGTTACATTTTTTGGCAGGATACCTTACCGTACACAAAATATGATTAATAAAATGATTTAAGTGTGATCTATTAGTGAAATTTTAAGTCAGTGTTACCATTTTCATGCAGTCATAGCATTAACACAATGAGTACTGTGCAGGTAAGAATTTCAATCAAATTAAGCTATCAAATCATATAAATTGTTTTCTATATCCTTAATTATTTNAACACAATGAGTACTGTGCAGGTAAGAATTTCAATCAAATTAAGCTATCAAATCATATAAATTGTTTTCTATATCCTTAATTATTTCGATATATATATATATATATATTTTTAACTACAACTCTATCAAAACATGAATATTCTTAAATTTTTTCACATAATTTCCTGTACACTTGCTATAACCGGGCGTTAATCCCTGATGGTAATGTTAGGATTAAATAAATTAAAATACAAAATAAATTTATTAATATAATAAGTTTATTTATCATTTATTGTGATCATTATTTGAAAGCTAATTTGACTTACTGGTGAATAAAATACTGGTAAATATTTACGGTCAAATAAATACGAAAGCCCAGCTTTTGCGATATATTCTAAAAACCATTCCTCTTCGGTTTTTGATTGATTTGTTTCAGCTATTTATAAAAATAAAACATTTATATCAGCGCTTAAAAGTTTAAGCAAATATGCAAAATTGGGGAATTTATTTATTTATATCATAAGGCTCGACACATTGGCTTTTGAATTTTTTATCAATTATTTAATAGTATTTTTTAAAAACTAGAAATGAAATCACAGATTTATAATAGTTCATCAATTAATAATAAATAAATAAATAATATTTATTTATCATCAGCATAATGAAATAGTACAATACTTATATATATCACAATAATATTACAACATATTGATAAATAGTAGATTACACTATAGTAGTGTAAACACAAAAATAAATAATTAAAGACAATTACCAATTAATTCACATATATAAATACCAAATACATTGTCTAGATAATTATACTACAAAGCCAGATTAGGGATCAAAGAAAAAATCAAAACCAATTATTGTGTTACAATTAAAAATTACTCTATTTAAAAGATCATATTGACTATAGTTCTGTTAATGGATTCCTACTAGACACTTTAAATTCAAATAACCTATCAAATTATTGTATAATTTATACACAAATATGACATTATCATTAAATATCTGATTTTCAAGTGACTTAATTTTAAACTCAATACTTATTTCTAGTAAGGTGCTGTTATTTTTAACATTATTTTTGTGAATAATAAATAGTTATTTTAAATTCTATCAACTTTGTTTATAAGTCCAAATTGTTATGGGCTACAATTAGTTTACCCATATGCAAGAATTGATTCTACTAATGAGTTACAAAGTAATTTCAAACAATAAAGGTTATTCATAGCAATTCTTTTTAACAAAACCAAAAATTCTAAGGGCTTCATTAGTTATTGTAGTTATTTATCAAGGTATCAAGGTTTTTGATATGCTAAGCCTTATATAATGTACTACCTTTAATTTCTTAATTAAAAATACAAGTTCTATGCTATGCACTTTGTAAAAGTTTTGAACTAAAATTTTTTAGAAAATATTAGCACATTTTTACTAGAGCAAAGTAGTGCAGTTTATTAGTGCCTAGAGATAAAAATAAACATTTCATTTCATTTTCAGTTATTTTAGTTAATATTAATTACTACCAAAACAATGATTCAAAAATTTGACCTGTCATTTTTTAATTTTTAAACTTATCAAAAATATGATTCCATTTAAAAAACTTAAAAAGATGTTTTAAAATTGTAAAGGAGGAATAGAACTAAATTATTTTTGGGAACTATAAAATGTTAGATAGTACTAACTAATGAAAATAAAAATTTTTATTATATTTTATATATTTAAATATTGTTTAAGTCATAGTTAAAAAATACACTAAATTTTAAAATCTGTGAGCAGCCAATTGCAAATTCCTGCATTATATTATTGTTACAGTTATTTCTTATAAATAAATAAAATAAAAGGATTTTATAAAATAATAATTTTTACAACGTAGTAATAAGAGGTATTTGATAAAAATTAACTTTTTGACTGTTGGAACATATTAGATCAACTTAATTTTTTATTCAAGTTTTCCTGCTTGTATAATTATGAAAAATAAATGGTATTTTTTATTTTACATATTCAAATTAATACTTAAACAGTTCATGATAATATTAATAGTAATTTTCATAATAGAGTACTCACCATTTACAAATTTAGCTGCTTCAGCAAAACATTCTTCAAATGACTGCATCTATTAAAAAATTGTGGGTTTTTTATAAATATATAATAAACCACTCTAAAGAAACATGTCATTATAAATTTTCATAAAGATTTAGTACAAATTTATTCCTACTATAGAGTAAAACAGAATATTTATTTATCACTTTTCTAATAGGACCAAACTATGTTTAACTAGTTTATTTCACATTAATTTATTTAAAAAAAAATTATTTGTAAGCAATACCTTTCCTTTTGAAATATTTTCTGTTCTATCATTTTAATGATATAAAAATTATAAATTTTATACAGAGAAATTCGAGATCAAAATTTTAACTAAAATCATTTTTTACAAGCAAAATCAGGAATAGAAAAGGAAAATTTTGTGAGTTAAAATGGCGTCTTCTACACCAAATGTGTCTACTTTGGAAGTCTGTGCAGTGATTTGTTTTTTGATGCTAAAAAAATGATTTAGCAATAAAATTCCTAAAATGATTACTTCTGTTGTTCCTCTATAATAATATGATTTAATGAAGAATAAATTTACTAAAGGATAAGCTATTCAAAAACTTTAATAATATGAGACTGTACAGATGTAGATCTGTAATCTGACACAGAAGCAGAACTAGTGGTTTTAGAAATAAAGTAATAGAACTTATTTTAAGCAAGGACGTATAAATGCCTTCATCTAAAGATATGCTAAAGATTAGCCAGAGGAGACAAGCGATAAAGGATCTCGATTAAAAAAGTAATTCACCGCATAATTCATATGGACAAACAGACCAATTCCCATTCAAACAAGAAAAATCTCATAAAAATCACCCAAATTTACCATTTTGTAAATAATATTTTGATATACAGAGTAAATCACAAAATGAAAAATCCAATAACTTTTGATAAATTATTATTTGTTGAATTTTTTTTTTTAGTTATTGCCTTAGGCAACATTCAAAGCATATACTTTGATATTTATCATTAATAACAAAAAATATCCTTTAAACATTTCAACAAAATGATAATTTAACCAAAATTTATTGGATTTGTCATATCTTCTTGTCGTATTCAGACTTATGTAATTCATGCTATATTCAGAGTGTCCCACCAGGTCTAGATATAAATAATAACTTTTGACCCAGCAAATATAAATAAATTAATATAATTTTTATTTTTTTTAAATAATCATTCTTTAACAAAAAAATTGTGTGCAATGGCAAATTGATAATAACTTTAGCATAAGTACTATTAGATTGGTATTCAAATACATATTAGTTACAGTTCATACTGATATATATATACTCTGTCTGCATTCCATATCCATTCTACCTTAAAAACCCATCAAATTTTTTGTAACAACTAATAAATGGCTCATTTAAAATTTCAAAAAAGTTAAAAAATAATTTTTTTTTAATTTATCAGACTAACAATGAAAAAAATTATAACGCCATTCAAAACAGTAATGAATAATTTTAAAAAGTATCGTACAATATTTCCTAGATCATAAAATATTAAGGAATATGTTCTAGGAATTTCGCAGTAATGGTTAAATGTGTGTTTTTTACATACTTGGTACCCAAATCTAAATCAACATCCGAAAGTCTTTTCTCAAATGATTTGATATTCAGTGAACAAATATTACTGGCAGTAATATGTATAACAACCATAATTCGTAATCAGTAGACCTTCGATGACAACCGACGAGTCAGCCTGTTCCTGATAGGTATCATAGTCGGACCTCAAACCAATATAACCCAACACAACTTGTAATACAACTTTATAGTAGCTATTATATTGTCGGAACAAGAAAAATCGTTAACGACTTTTGTTTAAGAATATTAGTCTTTGAAGGCCTAAGTCGTTTGAATCATACACACGGTTATGACTATGATAACCACGCTTTTATATCTAGAACCCTGTGTTTTTGTTATTGTTATTGTTATGGTTACCGGTTACCATAACTATTTCTTTGGTCACAATTGTTGTCTTAACCCTTATTTAAATATTTTTAAAAAGGCACGTACAAATAAATCCGGCCAGCAATTGTCAGTTTGATTTTGAAAATCCCATAAGGGTGATGAACAATTTCTATACTTAGGTTGGGTTTGGAAGAATTAAGAGTTAGCCTTTTTATTAAAAACTTTATCGTTACATTAGATTTACATCATAGATCTAATACAAAAATACAGTAATTTGTAAGTACTACGACATCTAGTTGTACGTATTACATGTGTTACCGGATTGTTACCACCGTCAGGGTTACGAGCGCTCTACTTCGACGATATTTGTTCTCTTATCGCTTATCAATGGAAACGAACATAAAATAATGCTGGATCCGTTTACTGTAGCTGTAGCTGTTGCTGTTGATGCTGCCATTGAACGATAGTTGCCGTACATTTTCAGTAACATTTTCAGTGACTTCTTCAATGACAATATTACAGGCGACGTAACCGTGTACCTTTGGTTGAATGTTTTTCTTTGAGCAATTGTCGAAAATCGTATTGTTTTGACCAACCATTGAACCACTTGGTATGTACTCATTAAAATTTTATCTGTTGTTTACAATGAGTTTCAAAAGGGTACTAGTCAAACATCGTTATATGTTCGAAATGCGACAAATGGTTGTTGATTAGAATCGCATAAAAAACTTAATTCTAGACTCTTTCTAATACACGCGTTACTAATATAAATCTAAAGTATGAAGTTATTATGATCAAATACGTAATAGTATAAAATTTAGCACTGATTAAAACGTTAATATATTTTATTAAAATGTTCAGCTTTCATTTATTGACAAAATGTCGTAATTAATTGACTTTGATGTCAGTATATAGTTGACATGTTAACAAAACACGTTTTTGAAATTATTATTTATTGTCATATTTAATATGTTCAAATGATAGCCATGCAACCTTACTTGCATTCTTTGGCAATAACTTAATAATATATTATATATTATTATAGTATGTAGTATTCCATATCACTATAAAATAAAATAAAAAATTTAAAGTAGATTTGTTATAGCAATTAATTAAATTTTTATTGGAACAATGAGGTTTAAAATAAAAATTAAATGAACTATCTACTTATGCAGATTTAGCTACTCAACGTTTATCAAACAAAAAAATTAATATATATTCCAATTTAAAGTTTCTATATTAAAATTTTGCAGCAATGTTAATTCAGTTGTCTTCTATTTTTATTTCACATTTATTTAAAAAAAAAAAACAAATTTTGTTAATGCCAACATTTTCTTAATGTACCTTAATAATAAAATTTACAAGACTGATTTGCAAAGTAAATTTTATCATTATGATGGTATAATTAAGCTCTATATCTTCTAGTAAAAAATGTCATTGATGACAATATCATGTTATTAATGTAAATTAGTATAAACATTATTAATTTGATATCGAATTAATAACACATATTAATGCATACTATTAAGCAAATATTTTATGTCAGTTTTTATGTTGACTTTTTCCTTTTTTTTAGGTGACACCATTCTATAAGCAGTCTCGGAAATCATGAATGATACCGAAATGTTGGTAGAACATAATGAAGATCTTGGATCTTTGCGAGAGTGCAATGCCAATGATTACTGTAGACTATGCGCTAACATGGATGAACGTATGGTACCAATTTATGTTGACGAGGGTGTAGATCACATGCTTGAAAACAAAATCAAGACACATTTACCATTTTTAAATGTAATATATCTTTCCTATGTATTAGTATTAATTATTATGTTGTCAATATTGATCATTTGGTTTCTCTTATAGATGTTTATTTTCAGTAATAGATTTGTTTAATTGAAAAATTACTTTATAGGTTCAAAAAAACGATTTTTTACCTCAAAAAATATGTTATCATTGTGCTTCAGCCATATTGGTTTGGGATGAACTGTATGAAAGCAGTGCAGAAGCGGATCAAAAATTAAGGAGCATGTTTGAAGAAAGTCCTGAATATGAACAAACCGAATGCAAGGTATAATTCTCATTAATAAAGATAAAGCTTTACATTAAAATAAAATTTTGTTAGTATTTTTAGGTTTTTTATTTTAAAAATAATTAACATAATACTGTTTAAATAATAATGTATACAGAGTAATTCTTTTAATATAAGCCATTTATATTTTATTAAAATAATTATTATTTTAAGAACATTCAAGAACATTATTCATATTTTTCTAGATTTATCAATTGTTAAGTATTTTTTTAATTCATCCCTTATACCCTAAAATGATGTTAACTTTATTTTTTTTTAATGACAATGTATTATACTAGCTAATAAAACAAAAAATTATCTAATTAAAAAACTTTTGACCCATTAGTATTTATAATTATTTTAAAATAAAGAATGTAAATGGATTATGATTTATATTATTTTTATTATTAGACATTAATCTAATTTGTTCTTTCTTCTATATTTCAAAATGATAATAGCTTCTAAAATACTATTTCAAAAGTTGACATCCTTATAAGGAATTAATTAAAAAATACCTAAACTAATTTTTTTAATAAGAGAAATCAAGTGACTAATATTAAAAAAATCATTGTCTATTATGTTTTCTTTTTTGCATTTTCCTTTCCTTTAAAATTTTAGAAATTAAAGTTACTGATTTTTAATTTTATAATTTTTTCACTATTATTTTATAGCCAATATTTAAATAATAGTATGAGTAATTAATATTTTAATTATTTGTCAGTGTGAAATTTTTTTGCATGTAAAATTTATTTCCTATTTTCATTTTATATTGAATAAACATTGTAGTAAAGGACACTTAGTATATGAAGATTTTTTACTATACTGACTTGTCTAGACTTTGAATTATGCAAATTAATTGTTACACAATTTATTTATATTAGTATTCATTTTTTTTTTAGGATATGCAAGAATGCAATCTGGGCATTACGAGTGATTATAAAAGGCAAGTTATTTAATATAATATATATTAGGAGCTATTGCAGGGTGTTGGAAATGTGTGGTTGATATTTTAGTTCAAAAACATTTACATTATTTTACAGTTGAATAAAAATACTGTCAATGAAGTAGTATGAACATAAAATGTTTTACTGAAATAATACATATACCTAAACTAATACAAAAAAGTCAATCAAATTAATATTTATTCATTTTAATTTGTTTCATTCATTCATTTTAACTGCTCAAGTATTTTAAAAATAGCCATTATTTTATGTAATGATCTTAAACATTTTCACAGTTGTAAGGTTCTTGTAAGGTATTTGTCATAATTTTTTTTTAACTTAAAAAATATTTTTCATAAATTTACTATTCAAACATTTTTCTTGATATTTATTTTATAATTTGGGACTTTATTCATTTTTAAAGTTTATTTTAGTAATCTTGAGTTCATTAATGATATATATTCAGTTTTGTTTTTCTTGATCTTGATCTTGATAATATATTTTAATTAGAATTTTAGTTTTTGGTTGTGTGGAAATCACTCCCCTTAAGAAAAACAAAGTTCTTATGGTACTCAGTTAGGTGTCTCAGAAATGGTTCAATCAAATTTAATAAGTGTATCAAATGCTGAACTTTAACATATTTATTAATTGATTCTTCTGAGTTTTCGTTCATTGGACTGAAATAATTATGAGTTTTTGGAAGACTTTCTGTAGTTGTTAGGTGACAAGTCAAAACGTTTTATTGCCATATTTTTAATTCTTCTGGAAAAACAATAGAAAAAATGAAATTGTTTAAAATAATACATTTATTTTACAACTACGTTTTCCATAGAAGAATAATTCAAGTGCATTAATTATAATATAATTTTTAAAAATTAAAACATTTTTACCATAATTTACTTCAATATTCTCATTTTTCAAAATAACATATTTTTTCCTTAATTTTAAATGGCAATTAAATTATTTTGTACATTACAAATAAAATCCCCTAAGAATTTTACTTATTTGCTAAAATCGATGTACATTATTGATATAATAAAAATTTTAGTACTAAATAGTTTTGAAAATTAAATATCATAAATAACTTATTGAACTTTTTATTCAATTTTATATAACTAATCTGTATATTGTATAATATCTTTATGGGGCTTTATTACTAATTTTTAATAGTTAGGTATAATCCATTTAATTCTACTAGATTTTATTAATTTATTCTTGCATTTCAAAGCTGTTATGCATATACAGTATAATATAGTACGATTATTTTAATAATAGCCACTCAATTTCTCTTAAAATACATCTTTTTTGCTTTTATTAGTTACCTATTTAGAACTCAAATTAGAACTCAAAATAATTATTTTCACTTGCATTTTAATTTTTATCTACATCTATCATTACTGCTTTAATAACACAAGCTTTTTAGATTATATATGTTCAAAAAAAACATCAATTGAATAGTTGATTAATTAATTCTACATAGAAAGTAGTTTAGGATGTTACTAGTTATTTAAATGGATTCATTAATATACAAATAACGAGACCATTTGTTTATACCAATTTGAACCGCTGTTTCATAGTTATGTTAATTATTTTTCAAGCTATTATTATTATTATTGTTATTAAAAGAATTGTTTTTATAATTTTTATCTGAAAGTTTTACAGTATTCTTTTTGTATTAATTTGCATTGACTTTTCGTTTACACTTAACATTTTAGAATTCTTATTTATCGTTTTCCGTTGCAAATATGATAACCGTACTGTGTGATTAGACTTTTTACCTTTGTTAGTGATGTTAAAATGTGTGACATACGAAAATAATAACAATAATTATAATATTTAAAACTTTTCGCGTTTTATTTTTTTTACGTAATTCGAATTAATGCAATTATTTTGGATGTCGGTATGTGCAATACCAAAATAGTATAAATTTTACCCGTCGAGTGTTCAAGATGGTGTATACAAATGGATTTCGGTGTTTCCCATTGTTGCTACTGCCGCCACCGCTGCTACTGCATAAACATATTTAAGACGCACTTCAAAGAACACGGGCGTAATACATGTGCCCTTATGGTTTTCCAGGTACGACCAATACAACAAGGATTACGGCGGCGGCGGCGGTGGTGGTAGAAGAGGTGAAGAAGAATTCGAAAATGCTGCTCTCGGCCGACTTGACAGAGCCACCCAGGCGCAGCTGGCTATCTTGACTGACTATTATTGTTGTTCGAAATGCGACGGGCTGAGCTTTTCAAAAATCCTGGACAAACAGCGACATGACCACCATGTCCATGGTGTAATTCTATTGCCGACGCGTTTGAGTAGCTGTGCGGTGACCGACGAAGAAGATTTTCAAAGTGGTTGTGATTGGACCGCAGATGACCATATAAAAACGGACATATCGATTAGTACCCCCGCGACCAGCGTGACAGCTTCTGCAAGCGTTATCGTTTCTCGTGCTAGTAATCCGCCAGACAGACAACTAGAGACTAACGAAAACTTGGCGATTGTTGACGACGCGTTATCAACTACCCGGTGTGAACTCCGGCCAATTACCCCGTCCATCAAAATCGAAGAAATAGATACGTTAACGGTATCCGTCTTAGGCGTCACCGCAGGTAATTTAGGTTCCGAATACGTCGCGCCGTTGTCGACGCGTCCGGTACGTCGTAGCACTCGTCGGGCTGCTACTGAGCGCAAAAAATACGCGGAAGTAGACAATAGACTGGACATGTGTGATTCCGAAGGTGTACAACTCGACAGTAATAACACCTCTTCGTTCATGCGACGACCAAAAAAAGAACGTCGTTCGCGTGTTGGTGACGTAAAAAATAGTGAGATCGAACCCGGCGGTAGCGGCGGCGCTATAAACTCGGAACACGCGCCGTCTTGCAACAACAACGAGGCAGTCACCAATGACGTTGTTGATACGGACCCAGATGGAGTAGACGCGGAGCTAGACGATGAACTTGCCAAACTAGAAGTAACGGATCAGAATTGTAACGTGGATCAAACCGAAGGAACTCCTAGTGACGTGAGTGGCAGCGGTAAACACACGGCCGCCTCTTTTAAAGACGGTGGAGCCGTTGACGAGTACGACAAGTACAAAATTGTGATCGACAACAAGCTGTATTACAAGTGTGACCAGTGCAACTATGCGGTGGCCGGCCGGAGGTACAAGTTTGTCTATCATATGCGCGTACACACTGGTGAAAAACCGTATACGTGCGATATGTGCAGCAAGCAGTTTCGGACGGCCGCATTTCTCCGTCGTCACGTCGTGTGCTTCCATCAGAGGATTCGCGGCTACCGGTGTGACATATGTGGCCGGTCGTTCAGCGAAAAGCGTAACGTCGACGATCACCGGCGTATACATACGGGCGAGCGGCCGTTCGTGTGCGAGACGTGTGGAAAGAGCTTTGCGCAACGTTCGTCCATGAAGATCCATTGGAAACAGATGCACGAGAGCATCAAGTCTCACCGGTGCCAGTATTGCTCTATGAGCTTTGTCCGTCGATGTCACTTGGTAGCGCATCTCACGCACCATACAGGCGTACGTAACTACGCGTGCCACGTGTGCGGTAAGGCATTCCTTCGGAGCGGCACGCTCAAGGGACACATGGCAGTGCACTCGTCTGACCGTCCGTTCCGGTGTATCGTATGCGGTGACACGTTTAAACTAAAGAAACACCTGAAGCAGCATGGCCGCGTGCACAGCGGTGCGGGACGTCGCGCGTTTGCCGGTTCTTCGACGGTCGATGTCACTGAAACCATACCGGCGGCATCCACGAGTTCGACAGTATACGACCTAACCGCTGAAGTCCAATCCGTTGTAATGCAATGAGCCAGCGATGCGCCCGTTCGTACGGTTACTCAATGGGCGACAAAAACATGTGTCGAACTGAAATCGTTGCGGGCGGACATAATTAGACACGATTTCCGTGCCAGTTGTCCATCCGACAAATCATCACATCGACAATAGTCCACATGCCATCCCTACCGACGAATGCATAAAACATTCAATTGTGTTACGATATCATAAGTTTTATTTTTTTACATTATAATATAATTTATAAACAATATTATTGTTTACTCGACGATTACTTTTTGTAAATTTATTTTTAACATTACAATTCGGTTTGTAGTGTTAACTGTATAATTAAATTTTTTATTTATTTATTATGTTTCATGTTAGTAAAAAAAAACTATTCATGAAACATACGATGTGTTTATTATATATATATAACAAAAGTACGTAATTGATGAAATATTTTATCTATTAAGAATTGTTAACATAATTAAACTATTTATATTGTTCGCGAACAGGGTAAAGCTTAAATAGTTTTTAAAATATTATCATAATTAATAATGTGTGACCTTCGACAGTATCGAGTGTTAACACGATATTTATCGTATCAATTACTATGAATAGAATTTTTTTATTTCATTGCGACTACTTTTAATATTACTTAAAATCTAGGAAATTTAGTATCTTAAGTTATAATACTGAATTTCCTATGTTTTATTATTGTAGTAGATAAGTTGCACTTTTATATGCCGTTATTATGCTATGAGTTTTTTAATCTTTTGGTGTAGTCGTACTTATAATATTTATTTGTTTATGAAAAGTGAAATTATAAAATTTTGTAAAACTTATAGTTCTTTTGGACAGAAAATTTTAATGACCCAATCGAAATGTTTTCATCAGTGTACTAACACGGGAGGAATTTATTCTATTTATTTTCGTTATACTTCAGTGAGATTTTCACCGAACTTTCATTACTACAGTTTAATTGAAATTCTATACATTTTTTGACGTTCGATTTCTGTTTCTCTTTATTTGATTTGCAAGGGATGTTCGTGGGAAGTGACGTAACGTCGACTGAATTTTTAATACGAGTCGCGTAGTTACCATACTTAGTATTTTTTTTACTAATAAAAATCATTCGTTTAACGACTCATATCCTATTCACGTCTCCCCCGCTCTAAATCTCTTATAGATCAATTAAAAACTTCTATTTAACTTACATTGCCCTTTACTCTACTGATAAACACACATCACAATTATATCTATTATATTGTTACTGCTATTAATAAATGTATTGTCAATATTAACGAATAACTACAATATTTTTATAATGTATTATAAAAATTATATTTATAAATACATATATTTTTACTATTTATACTAATGCTATTATTATACAAGTACACACTTATTTGTTACATTAAAATTATAATACTACACGTGTTATAATTATAAATTATTAAAATAAGTGTTGTATATTGTAAATGTTATATAATTGTATTTTTAATAAAAAAAAAAAAAATGTCAATTTAATTATAAAATTTCATGGTTGCCACGACTCTAAAAAATGTTGAAAACCTGGAAATTTCAGAATGTTTTTGTGATTTTTCCTAAAATTTGATTATACTTATCACATAATTTGACATTTGGTTTTTCTTTTTAAAAATTCCGACTAGAAAATAAAAATAATGTAAGAGATGATGAAATCATATCCCTTACATTTATGCAAAGGATCCTCTTATGACTATGTATGGATTTTTTTTAACTGTATAGAAAGTTGGAGAATTTAAACTTTTTAGATTTTATTTGAATTCTAGAGTTCTATCATTTTCTAGATATAAATATCAATTAAAAAAAAACAGGCGCAGATCTAGAAGAAATTTTTGGATGGACCATTTCACTATTTCTGTTAAAGTGAGAACTGTTTTCCACAAATACGACCTTTTTAAAAAATAATTCAATTTTTTTTCGTGTGAGGTGCCTTACTCTCTTTGTTTCCGCACCTGTTAAAAACGTCCATAATTTACATTACTATATATTAGTTTGTTTTATCTTGAGAAATACATATTTTTAAGTCAACTAGCGATCCATAAGTGGATATTTAATATATCAAACTTTTATTTCGTCGAAAAATAATTAATTTAATTATCAATTATTTTAATAACTAATCAAAGTTTTTTTGCCAGTTCAGTTTTTTCCGTTTTTTTTTTTTCCAATGTCGTTTTGAGCTGTAAACACCTTTGTTTGTTTATGTCAATGTTCGTTGTCGACCAATCGTTTTGACGAGTCGCGTTGTTAACTAAACCTAATGTTTTCATTAACAGACGTTATTTCGTATTTTTTATTGTTACTTTGACGAATAGTCGAGTTTGAAACACATGTATTCACACTCGCCCCAATACATAAACCCCGTTAATCCAATTTTTGGTATTGTTTACGAACGTGTTCAACTCCTACAACTTTGTTATTTCCTTCTTTATAATTAATTAAACCCCGATAATGATTTTTACCTTAAATTTACATTTGTAACGTGTGACTTTAGAGTGCATGCGAAATTTGTTAACAGTTTGCACTTCTCGTGTTTACTTATTCGTGTACATTGATCTGTGGACTACTAACATTTTAATCGATAGAATAATGACATATTTATAGCACTCGACGATAATTACTGACAATCGACTAGAGGTCTCGACTGTGGCAATAATAAAGGTAATCAAAATAATAGAGTGTGCGTTACATAATGCAATACTTGTACTACGTGTGATTACTATTGAAAAAATAGTAATTGACGTGTGTTTTATCATTCCGCCTCATCAACGTGGTGTTAAATCGAATCACAATCGACAAAAAGACACCGCTCAATTTAATGATGTATTGGGATTTATAAGCGATTCAATGTGGTTGGAATCATTAAACGTAATTGGACAATACAAATGTAAATAAAATGGCGGTCATTATAGTATACCGAATTTTTTTGTGTTGTCAGCCATTCGATTTGCACGAATGGTTTTTGATAGCGCCTCGTTATTCTGACGGTAACATGTTTCCGTAGCGTATGGTTAATAATTGCAAATTTAGTTAGCATCTAGTAACAGTTCAAAAAACTACAACCGTAACTGTAACATTTTCCACGTAGATCGCAGCACCTGTAATGGTTTTCAATAATAACAGTGTCTTGAAACTATTTTAATTGTTTTTCCTCATATACAATTGAATCCAGCACGGTATTATAACACTTAACAGATTCGCCGGCAAGTACGTCGCAGTCGTTTAACGCAAAATAAACGGTTGAAGATAAAAAACTTTTGTCGTGTAACTTTGTTTAAAACTGGTATTTATTTATAGGACGTTCAAATATCAATAAAAAACAATAACGACACTTTTTATGTTTTCAATTTTCCAAGTTGTATTCGTATGTAAATTAATGACCTTATTTAAAAATGAAAACACAGTTACCGAGGTCAATCGGCTCACGAATAATGCTGCCGCCGAATATTGTCTAATACTCGAATAATTTAGTCATAAGTATTTATTTATTTATTTTTATTGTTTGTCGTTAATCCGAATTGATTTCAAATTTCAAAAATTAAAATTGTAATTTATTCTACCGATATAGTCTACATAAATTACATACTTGTGTATTAGTTTTTCAATTATAGGTGGTGTACATTTTACGGTTTTTTAACAATGAATGATTTTACGACTGAAATTCTTTATTGTTTCTTGATGATAATCCCGGAAGATAGTGAGATCTGTCCGACTTGTTTATGAACAGTTTTTTATCTTTCCGTCATACTTAATCATAACGATGTCATCACTTAAACATCAGAGTTCAAAATCACTTATCGCGTCATGTGTGCGCCAAACCATTCTAATTTTTCTAGTCCATCGTTATTATTTCAGTTGGGTACAGCATTATTTTAAAATTTTATTAACTCGTTGAATGTAATACCTAGCCCGTACTTTGTAGTTATTACGCCGTTGTTTTAAGTGTGCCTATTTTTTTCTCATTTCTAATTATCTCCTCGTTTATTCTGTTATAGTGAGCTGACGGGCAACGATCATTGCTTGTTCGACGACGGTAGGGAAGTCTACCTCGACGCCGGCACTGATACGACCGTAGCTGAAGACGTCGCCAGTTCGGATCCGACCGTCGACTACGTGCAATCTCTCCGCCGCAGTCGTCGGAGGCTCGAGGTGCACATTTCGGCCGAGTGCGACGATGAAGAAGAAGAGGACGTGGACGATCCCGCTTCCATGGTACCCGCTGCTACTTTGGTGCCCAAAGAAGAGTACCTGGAAGACCCGGAAGCCAATAAACACGGTGGCAACGAAGACGTCGAAAACGACGGTGACGACGACGACGAGAACGATGAGCAAGAGGAGGAAGAAGAAGAGGATTGCGGCGTCGATTACGACAGCATCGGCGGACATATAAGCGTGTACGTGGGTGGGGGCGTCGGTGAAGACGATGGTGGCGGGTTCGACGATGACGACGAACGACGCCGTCAGCAGCAGGAAACCATGTGCCAGATATGCGCGACCGTGTTCAAAACGCGATACAACCTGTTGCGGCACTTCCAGAAGCGGCACCCCGAGTACAAGATGTACGAGTGCGACCTGTGCCGTATCAGTTTCCCGTCCATCGAGGAATTCAAGGAGCACCTAGAGGATAAGCATTCGCGCGTCCACACTGGCACCGGATCGTCGGCCGAAGCGGCGGCGGCGGCGGTGGCCGCCGCGGCCGTCGACTCCAAACAGATACGGTTCGCGTGCGACGTCTGCGGCAACATGTACAAAAATAAAGCGTCCGCAATGAACCACCTACTGACGCACACGGCCAAGAAGACGGTGCGGTGCCCGCGATGCGAGTTCACGTGCTACACCAAGCAGCAGTTGGCCGTGCACCAAACCAAGCACGACAAGCGTTTCGTATGCGACATTTGCAGCAAGCGGTTCGCGCAAAAGTCGCAGCTGGACGTGCACATCAAGGCGGTGCACTATAACCAGCGACCGTATTCGTGCGTTTTATGCAACAAGTCGTTTAAGACCAAAGGATCGCATGACGCGCACATGATCGTTCACACGGACACGCGCAACTATCAATGTCCGCACTGCGACAAAAAATGCAGGAAGCGTTACGACTTGACCCTGCACATTCGGACGCACACGGGCGAAAAGCCATTCAAGTGCAGTGTGTGCGGCCGCGGGTTCGTGCAGATGTGCGATACGCGCAAACACGAGATGCTGCACTTCAAACCGGGCAAGCGGAAATCGCTGTTCTACACGGCGGCAGCTACGGTAGACACGTCGGCGGTCACTAACGCAGCCGTCAGCGTCTTAGACGACGACGAGTGAGCTGTCGCCAGATGATGTGATAGAACGACAGAACCGTGTTTTCATTGCCAACGGTTCGTCCCGTTTCGTCAAAACTTACTCATAGTATATGAACGTTATGTACCGAGTTCTTGTAACAAGACAAATTTACATTCTTTCGTTGAAAACTCACAACGTGTGATGGACAACACTTATCGTCCAAATCCACGGAAATGTGTCTTGTTCGTATGTGGTGGCCAATAATTCGCAAACTTGAAGACGGCCATTGACATTGTTTTTGATCGATTGACTAGTTCGATTTT